GGCACTTCTGCTTGTTGGGTATTTAGTGAGGTGTTCCTTGTGGTCTAATAAAAGGTCAGTTTTTAAGGACTGGTACTAGAATACCTGAAAATGTTTTTATGTTTTCTGCTTCCATGACATAGAATTAGACATACGTTAATTATATTCAGGCCTGTGAATTGTCTTACTTAATTCTTTTATGCTGCAATGTATTTTTATCTTCTTTTATCTCTTACAGAACAAGTCAGGTAAATTAATTTCTGCCACTGGTGTGTCTCTATTTAGCCATCCGCTACCTTTAGTTTTAGTTTATAAATGTTGATTCAAAATATTTGGAGCATAAAACTTAGGTACAGTCTCACTTGAACTGCCTTCCAGGCCCTTCCACTGTGAAGAGTTCAGCCTGAGTGAGTTACTTACGTACAGAGCGTCCCTGTCCCTACCTGGAACATGGGCTGATTCTCATGCTGTAGAGTCATGATGAAGTTTAGGGGCAAAGCTGGCAAAACACTGGGTCCAGAGTTCCACGGGTTTCAATTGCTGGGTCCACAGTTCCACGGGTTTCAATTGCTGTTGGCATTATGTTCATGATTGTACTCTGTTGGCAAACAGTGCTGAGATTTAACAGTGAAGGTGTCTGTTTCTTGGGAAATTGTGCACGGGAACCCGTCTGCACACTCCTCTGGCCTGGACTAGGCCAGTCAAATCGCTGCTTCCCCTCGTCCTGCGGCTACTGCCTCAGCCGTTATCGTCACTATTTTTATTTCTGCTTCTGTTCCTGCTGGTTGCCGAGTAATTCTGCATTTGCTTGTACTTCCTCTGACCAACCAGGACAGCCCTCCTCCCACAGTTCCCTCACAGAACGCCTTGAGATTGAAGGGACCCGTGTCTGTACAGGCTCTGGAAAGACACTAAGGCAGTGGCCTGGGCTGCTTTCATTTCTTCACATTCAGTAGATCATTTAGGTTTCAGTGAGAGTTTCAAAGATTGCGAAATGCTGGTTTCTTTCCTTCTTTGTCGCAGAGTGGGCCTGGGCTTGTGATATCCGTCTGCAGGTGAACATGAGAGAGAGCGGCCAGTGTCCCAGTTTCTACCCCCAGAGGAGACGCCCCTCCTGCAGGGAGGTGGGGTGGGGCCGCCAGCTGTGGAGCCACAGAATCCATACCAGGCCTTGCCAGGGAAACACCCAGAGGCTGAAATGTTAGTGCCACTCTGCTGTGTCCATACCACATCTTAAACCCAGTACTAATAAGCTAAAACTATGTCTCTGTAGGTACAGTAACCAAGTTTGGGTTCTGAGACGTATCAGGCGAGGCCCCACTGATGGTGTCTGCCAGGTCTCGGGAGAGGGGCCCACACCCTAGACTCAGTGTCCCTCCCTGGGGACTCAGACTGCTCTTGCATGGAGGACTTGTGCCTGGTTCCATTCGCTCTGGGGCTCCCGAAGTCCCTGACAGGCCTGCTGTCTCCCAGGGAACAGTGCATTTAAGGAGACTCCGAGGCCTTCTGAATTGCAAGACAAAAGTGGTCTTATATCTGTGCCGCCATAAACAAGCCATGGGCCTTCTGTCCTGGGTGCACAACGTGGGCTGGGTGGCTTCCTCCCAGTCACGCCCTTTCCAACTTTCCTTTCCGGTGCTTTTCTTAAATGAGATCGTGCACATGAACATGTTTGAGTCTGAATGTGCACTGCGAGCCCTCGACCAAGGTTGGTTATTGCCATTAACAACACAGCGCCCAGGCTACGTAAGACCCTGACCCAGTGCCTGGCATGTTTTGGGTGATTTAGAAGCATAACCACCTTTCCTGCGATGTTCTGTCATGAAAGACAAAAGAGAGGACTGGGTGTTAACACAGAGGATGGTGCCAAGTCCCAACTAGAGCCGGGAGATGTGAGGAGGGGTAGCCAGGACAGAGCTGGGCTGCCTCAGCTCCGTGCAGAGCTCATGACCATGCAGAGACAAGACACAGCCTCACACTGCTGAAGGAGTCTGCCAGCGTAGCAGGCGTCTCACAGCCAGGAGCACCTGGACTCACTTACCTGAGCGGCTGCACTGGGCAGAGGCCCCCTCTCTGGATCAGGGGTCCAGGGACGATGACACGTGCTCTCCTATTTCCAGGAGTGGAAGGACAGGAAGTAGCTAGGGCAGCACATGTCCAAGAAGCCCCCTGAGACAGTCAGGTGGATTGTTCACGCTGCCAGCCATTGGAAGGATTAGGAACCCATGGGATGGGAAGCCAGGTCAGCTGACAAGAGTTGAGCATGTGAAGCACAGTAAGTGTGTGTGCTCACCCCAGTGTTTATCAAGAGCTCAAGGACTGTGCCGGGTTGGAGGGTCGCTCATGACTAGTCCGGGCAACAGCCAAAAGGACACCGTGCCCAGAGTGGGGAAAGGCACAAAAGCCCACCGAAGGAGTTGCTGTCCACCCGTGAGGTGGGGTCCACCAGCTGCCAGAGGGCCATGTTCAGCAGGGCACCACAATGGCCATGCCACTGTGCGCAAAGGAGCAGGAGTGTGAGCCTCTGTTCCCGGGCAGGACAGCAGAGATTAGGCAAGGATGTCTCTGCACAAATGACCCTCAGAGTGGGCACTGGCACCAGGGGTCCACGGTGGGGCAGAGCGGGCACCGGCACGGAGGGGTCCAAGGTGAGGCAGAGCGGGTGCCGGCACCGAGGGGTCCACGGTGACGCAGAGCGGGCACCGGCACAGAGGGGTTCACGGTGACGCAGAGTGGGCCCTGGTGCCAAGGGGGTCCATGGTGAAACAAAGCGGGCGCCGGCGCTGAGGGGTCCACGGTGACGCAGAGCAGGCGCCGGCACCGAGGGGTCCACGGTGACGCAGAGCAGGCGCCGGCGCCGAGGGGTCCACGGTGACGCAGGGCGGGCCTCGGCGCGGAGGGGTCCATGGTGATGCAACAGGATCCCGTGAAGAGGTGACCACAGGGATTTCACAAGAAGTCTTGCACAAAATGTTCAGAAGTCATGATCTTGTTTTATTTTAATTTAATAAAAGTTACTGCGTTCCTACTGTGTGCTACAGGATACAGGATGGCTGGGATGTCCGCCCTCCTTTGACTAGTTTAGAAGCTATTTTTGACACAACTCTTAGTCTTTAAAAAATTGTTGCAGGGCTCAACTGCTTTAAAAAATAGTAATTTGACAACTTAGTATCAACAGATTGTGCTTTTAGCACAATCATTAAAGCCAGATTTACAGATTCATTAAAGCCAGCCCATTTAGGTCTTATTGGTAAGAAAGTGGAATCTTTAAATAAACGATTTGCCTGGGTTCACACAGCTCATAATAGGTGTCTCCTAGAGATGACTGGCCTCAAATTTGTGTTCTTTTTCTCTATGTCACTTGGTGTAAGCGTCCTAAATTTATCCAGGCTTTCAGAAGTCAGCAATGGGTCAGTGCCCATTTGTGTTTATTCAAATGCTGCCCACAGGCAGCCTGGCACTGTGTGCGTGAGTGTGTGATGGTGACCTGTGCGCACACCTGATTCTACTCAGGGAAACCAGCAGCCCTTCTCACCGGGCTTATCCAAACACCTCCAGAGGATGGGTGGGTGTTGTATAAAGCATGTGACTGAGCTGGGTCAGCTTCTGCAGTATGATGGCGCATAATTCTTTTTCATTAAGTCCTGGAAACATCTGTTCTCATCAGCCTGTTTAAAGCTTTAGCTTTATTAGATATTGGTTAATGATCACAGAGTCATTTGCTTTTAACAATAGGTGTTCTCTACACATAAAGCTATGTCTGGAGCTAGTGGGAGAATAAATGAGTTTGGACACCAAATGTGGGCGTCCCCAGAAGAAGCCCCGCAGCACCCAGGCATCTGCCTGAGACCCCTCTGCTTGCCCTGTCTTCACTCTAGTCCCTTCTGCACAAAAGTGTCATCACTGGTGATCGAGGTAGGGCTATTAGGAGCGTGCTTGTGTCCAGCATTGTGGACTGTCTCACATACCCGATGTGTACACTGAGGGTGGCCCAGTGCTCTGATCTTCCCTGTGCCAGTGGAATTAACATCATGCCCCGGGGCGCTGAGACAAACAGCAAATGTTGTCAACCACTTACCTGATTCCGCAGAAACAGTAAAGCCTGAGTTTAACAGAGCCAGACCTTAGGAGCAGCCCTGGAGCCAAATTTCAGCCACTACCAATAAGCACAAGTTGCAGGGTGATAGAATGTGGCTTTAAACAAACAAGCAGTGCCAGGCCTGGAATGTGATGCTGTGATGCGGCAGCTACGGGCTACTCCAGGAGGAGGTAACCTCAGACATTGCGCAAGAAGTCTTGCACAAAATGTTCAGAAGTCATGCTCTTGTTTAATTTTAATTTTATAAAAGTTACTGAGTTCCTACTGTGTGCTAAAGCACACAGGATGGCTGGGATGTCAGCCCTCCTTTGACGAGTTTAGAAGCTATTTTTGAGAGCTTAGTTAAAACGTCAGCTCCTATCTGCAACCACACGCTTCCTACCGCAGTGCGTGTCAGGGGCAGAAAGTGCATCTCGTTGCTCTCCGTGTGTCCAGCAGCAAACAGACAGGACAAGAGGGCCCATCTTCAAACCAGCACCTGGCAGCGCTCTCGTCCCGTGGATCTCAGCGTGGTCGGCCAATAGAGCACAGGAGCTTTAAGTACCCCAATGCCAAGGCTATGCCCTTGAGCAGAATAAGTCAAAACATTGAGGCTGAGACGGGGCGGCAGTGCTTCCTTCCAGCTCTGGGTGGTATCAACGTGCAGCCACCACGGAGAACCAGCTCTTTAGTGCGCAGAGGAAACAACAGGTGTGTTCCATTAAGGAAACAACTTTTCCTGCATTCTGAAGCCCCAAAGTTATTTATTTTTAAATAGCCTGGTTTTGCTCTGGAGTTTTACTTTTTATACAGCATCATGGCCTTTATTGTACAATTTTCAAATGTATATAGGAGCTATGGTTATAATTTATATCTTTTTTCTTAAATAACAACTTCCATGTGTGAATAAAAGGACACATGCTAGCAAAAGAAACTGAAGCAGACATGTAGGCAGCCCCAGGAAGACAAAATAAAGCAGCATCCCCTGTCCCTAAGAGACCTTAGCCAGGCCAGATTGAATTCCAAGCTGCCGCTTTCCTAAGAGGGGTACCAGTTGGCCCCTTGGAGAGGAACTCATCTATAACTTACAAAGTAATATTAATTTTACAATTACTTCAAGGTCTGTGGCAAATTTGTCTTTAATTATGTATTTTAACTCTAGCATGATAAATGCTATTGTTTAGTTATATTTTTAATGGTTTTACATTTCAAAATATTAAGGGAGCACAAATCCATCTCTAGGGTGAAATGAACACTATTCAGATGACGGGCATGTGACAATATTATCTGCACCTCCACAGAGTTTTATTTTTAGATATTTGGCACCTATAAATAAAAAATTCCTTGAACCTAAGGGATGGGAAGGACACAACATGTACAGTTGTGAACATTCATTCTTTAATTCAGATACTATTTATCAACAAGGACTTACTCCGTGCTAGGAGTTATGCTGGATGCACAGGGCACAAAGATGCCAGAGCTGCCTGCACTTAGGAAAAGCAGAGTCTAGTGAGCAAGAGAAATGAGCCAACGGGTCACTCCACCCAGTGCAAAAGTGGGAAACCCATTTGTAGCAAGACGGACTAAGTGGGAATCACTGTCCATGCTGCCCCTGTCAGACGTCCACAGAACCCCAGCCTCGGGGGACACATGCTGCAGGCCATGGCTGGGACCCTGATTGACAGCTCTGCTCTTTCTACCTAAATAGGAGGTGGCTGTCTCTGCCCTTTGGCTTGGAGACACAAGTGTTAGACCCTTTCTGTGTGAAATTGGGCCTGACGCTCTACTCTTGCCTTCACTTCCTGCAGTAGGAGTGATCATAAGTTTGTTTTGTGGATAAGAAAACGTGAATTGTTTGTCTTTCCCTTCCTGGATATCAGCCTTTTGCCTGGTTCTGCTTTGGGTCCGGGAAGCTCCTCTTGCCTCGGATGCTGGGGTCTCCAGCAGCCACGCTCTATTCCAGCCTCCTTCTTATGTAGGAAGAAGGAAAGGTTCCTGTGAGAACTGAACGAAGCTCCTTCAGAGCACATCAGTGGAATGAGCTGGACGAGTAGCGCTGGTCTGCGAAGAACCTCCCTGCCTGCCCTTGGCCGTGTGGATGGGTCTTCCCTCACCTGGCGGGACTCA